TTGCAGAATGAACTGTCGTTTGCGCCTTTAGCATGATCGCGTAGCTGCCCAAGATGGTTGCTCTATTTCGACCCGTGTCTACGCGGTTCTGTTTCAATAGGTATGACTGCTATTCTCTACCTAGGTCAATGACACAAAACATCCGACCAAATTTTGTGGATAATAAAAAAGTGCTTACAAAAATAATTTGAATTTGATGTAAAAAAAAAAAAGCACCCCAGAAAAACGCTTTTCGATTTTGCTCAGAAATAAACTCCGAAAACGCAGAACGCGTACTTAGGTCACACATGTAGCAATGTGACAAGCAGCGGTTGTGGGTTGAGCTTGGTAAATAGGATGCAATAGTTTCACAATACCCAAACAAATGTCATTAAGGAAGTACTGATTATACTTTTGCACCCCATATCCAAACCGAATGCACACGCAAAGACAATTACATGTTGGAAAGCATCTCGAGATATTTATTTATTTATATACAAAGTTAAGGGGGGGGGGGGGGGGGGGGTGCTTATCAATAATAATAACAAAAAGACTTGCTTTGTTACTTGGTTGACTACACAAATATAACAAAAAGTTAAAATAAAATGCAAGGAAAATATGACATAAATATATACAGTATCATGCAATCGGCTTCAAGCACTCAAGTTTCATGATACAAGCTGCAGTGCACTGCGGTAATTTAGCAACCGCCCCAATAGCGCAAAACAATCTCGATCGATGGCCCCAGCTGGTACCAAACAAATGACGGCGTGGCTGGATGCTTTCACGATGGACTGCTGGCACCACAGGACAGTGGGTTGGTTACCGCCTTAGAAGTGCAAAAGTGTAGCTGGAGACGAGGGTGTCATGCCAAGGGTGGCAGCGCCACGTGGTCAATGCTAAACGCCCATAACAAGAAAAAAAAAAAGGGAAACAAATATGGTGGGAGGTTTTTTTTTTTTTTTTTTTAGGAAGCAGTAAAAGATGCCATGAGAATTTTCCGCGGCCAGATATTGTCACGAATGAAGGTGACAATATTTAAAAAAAAAGTCACCAATCAATTCTCAAAAAAAAAAAAAAAATTTCGACGATCAATGGGATTTATTTGATGAAAATGCATTAGCATTGGTTCTTTCTTACTCCTCTCCATTAGTTTAGGACCCCTCCATGCTTCTAGTCGCTGCTCTCGTGTGTGGTTCTTTTGTGTTCATAGGTGAATTCGTGGTCCTGCTACGGTGTGAGTGGCATGTGAGCCCATTAGTCAACGATGACACTAGTCGATTATCGATAGACCTGTTTCCCCCGACAGAGAGCCCTTGGAGATTGTACTTGAATTTTTTTTGTGATGGATATTGCGGGACAAACAGATACGATTGACTGGTGAAAAATAACTTATTTACCGGCTTTGTTAGTCATGTAGGACGCGAGTAGAGTGCTGCAGTCGATCTTTAATCTCGTGATAGAATGAAACCTCCTTCTTCGTCGTTATCCATGTGCAATTAAGTCGACATTTGTTAATATGCGTGGTAACATTTCAGTTTTCACTGGCAGGTGAATAACAATCTTTATGGGCCATTATTGAAAGTGCGTCGTTTGTGCTTATGTGTTTGTTCATAGTAATGTTATTTTATTGCCCTTACCACGTTCATAATACAATCCTAGCTGTATTAAAGTAATAATATTATTGAATAAAAAATAAGTTATATTTTGTTTTAAGGCAGCTTGAGCCCAAAGAGAGAGGCGGATTAGTTGATCGTAAACAGTACGCAAGTTTAGTACCCCTGCCACACAAAAAAGTTGCATCTTTTCATTAAATGATACTATAGGATTGAATCAGCTCGCGATCCCAAGTAACTATACAAACGTCGCGAGTTGATTTTCCGACCCCATAATATCATATTCAATGGAGATTACATTAGTTTTGATATGTGGCCGGGGTATAATGCAAGAATTCAGCGACTGCATGCGATAACATCGCTTACATGATCGGAAGTGACACTTGTCTAGCTCTGTCCGTGTTGGCTACGTCTGCTTGATTTTTAAGTGTGATCTGTTTCGCTGTGTCCAATCACTGCGTGTCTCGCCATTTTGTCGAAGTATTTCTGTATAAAATATGCATTCCTACAGCAATAATTGTGTGTCTCAATGTTTTCGACTTAAAACAATCATATTTTTCTGTAGACGTCTAATAGGCATACCTCGTGCCATTTCATACCGATTATTTAGCGGTGAAATATTTTGCCCGTGTAATAAAATTCACAGGATCTCCTATGTTATCCCTAAGACGACTTAAAGGCAAAAGCCAAGCGCTGATGGAAACATAATAGCGAACCTCCAAAGACAGAGCGCTCTATGATGACACACTTTTGACGCCATTTCATTGGTACCTTTCATGTCGCCGACTTGTTTTCGCTCAAGGACTTTGAAGGTCAACTGAACGATAAGACATATAAAGCTTTAAACTTAAATTCTTTTCTAGCCCATTTTTTTATGTGCAGCTTTCATTTTAGCTAATAAGACATGCTTATTTATGTGACTTAAAGCGTACTGTTACGACGGTCGATCCACGTGCACTGCCTTCACTTGGGTGCTTTGACATGCACCCCTGTTGGCAAAGAGCGCTATGGCCTTATCCTTTTTATCCTCCAGGAGGTGTTGTGTAAACACGATACCTCCTCACCACACCCTCTCTCCTCGCAATGTCATGCATGGCACTGACAAACTGATGCACGGACTGACACCGGTGGGTCTTCGTGAAAATGAGCGTTCTAATGTATGGTATCATTAGAACGCTCGTTTATATGTTAGCATATAACTAGGGCTCCGTGTTTTCGGAGTATTTTTCGTAAAATACAGAGATGTTTTCCGGATTTTCTTTTGTAGAAATTATTTGTTGTTTATCGGAGTTTATTTTTCGTAAATCCCCAATTCTCCGAAATTCTGAGATTAATTTCGCAGTGTTTTCTATTAAAAATAATACATAACTGGATGCAAATGTATGCCAGATAAAAAAGAAAACAGGCTTGTATCAATTAAGATTTCTTCAGTTGAATTTGGCGTTGGTGTCATTGGCAATACTATTTTGTCCCACGACAAAAGTCGCACACAAGTGTGGCTTCGATACACGTCGATACCTTAAAATCCATAAACTGTCGGAGGTAGCCGCAAGGAAGCTCGTAGTCATCCCAACAATCTATCCCGCGGCCATGCGAGGTGGAGTGGTTAAGGATGTAATAGAGAAGTTTCCACTGCCCCTCTTTTCTATTTTATACTATCTCTATGGCCCATAGCTTTCACTGTCCGTCCGTCCCTCCCTCCCCCCCCCCCCCCCTCTCTCTCTCTCTCTATCTCTCCCTCTCTCCCCCCCCCCCCCCCCCCCCCCAGAAACATACCCTCTCTCCTTTCTCTAAATCCCAAATCCCATGGCCCAAACTGGAAAGCAAATGAGCGGCTTTTGTTGTGACACGAATGGTACGATGACCTGATTCCCTGAACCTACCTTGACGAGACAAGCCGTGAAGGCGCGTTCCCACCGGCGATGCAATCTAGTCGTACGATAACTTTCCTCGCAAAAGCGACCATCGCGGGCAAAAAGCGACGCGATTTGAGCAGTCGCTACTGGACCTTACTTTTTTGCGATGCGATCTAGTCGCGGAGCGGCTGAGCCAATCAACGGCGTTCAGAGCGAGCTTTTGAGAAACAACTCGCCAACGAAGGCGTTGGGGCTCGCTCATCGCGTACGCCGGTGTGACCATCCAACTTTTTTTGTGATGCGATCTAGTCGCATCGCGCGACTGCTTACATCGCCAGTGGGAATCTGCCTAAGACCCCCTTTTGACAACGGTCCGAGGGTTGAAAGATAGATATGGTGTCATTTTCACAGGACCATTAATCCTGCGCTGCTCAAATTGTGAAAAAAAAAAAAAAAAAAAAAATTGCTGTTTGGGGGGGGCGGAGGCATGGGAACATACCAATTCGGAGTTTATCGGATAAATCCGAATCGCCAAAAATTTTACCGGCGGGTGGTTTTCGGAGTTTTTAGGATTTATCCGAAAACACGGAGCCTTACATATAACATATGCTAACAGGCGATCAACGCTCTTCAAATGGTTCTCTTTTCTAATGCTTGCATGGTGTAAATCGTGTAAAAAATGTTTGTGTAAAGCTCTTTTTTTTTTTCTTCCTTTTTTTACGGATATTTTCAAACACAAGTTATAATTATTTGCGGCAGAACAAGCCACTCACATTACCCCGCGTTCGATCTCCGAACATACATTTGTAAGAAATAGAAGTTCCACGCAGCCTTACAGCCTTACGTTGAGTGGGATTGCAAGACAATCTTATTAGCGCAATATTGCGAAAACAGGCGGTCACGAGTGAAAGTGTTGAAATACGGGGAACGAGTCAGTAGAAGGCGCGGTGCTCGGTGAAAGTGTTGCAATACGGGGAAAGAGGTATGCACAGACTGCGAGAAAACATAAGGCGGAAAAACCCGTGATCTTTAGTCACCTGTATACACATTTTTCGCGCTGTCACTACGAGCCGCGCCTCAGGCCTTTGTGCTATGGGCTCCTTGCTTTTCTGAGGTAAACACTGCGCGACACTGCTAACGCAAACACGCAATCTTTCTTTTTTGTTTTTCTTTCTTAGAATTGAATGGCTCATTAAAATACTGCTGTCATGGAAAGTGCTCACTCGGGACATAAACCTAAGCGGTAACGTCTGCCGCCTGCCAATAGTCATGCGAAATGCGATAAAGCGCCGATGTCGCGTACGGTGTCGCGCAGTGCACTGCGGCTCCCCCACCCCCATGAGTCCTGAGAAACGCCATTCTCGTTATTATGACTACCTCAGTTCCACGGGTTTTAAAACAGGTTAGACTCTTGCCTATGTCATTCATTAACTTGCGCCGTGTAAATGAAAGACAAGAATCGTTGTGTGCCCCCTTCGGCATCCCCCGTCGCTGTTGTGCTCGCCCGTGTGTTCGACGGTGCCAAAAGATCGATCAGAGTGGGGCCCACCTTTGCTACAGGATTCTTCGTGCATCGTGACGACCGTGGTCGCAGCAACAATCTCTGCTTGTCTTTGAGAAGACGGGACACGGGCAGCGACGCGCAGCCTGTCACAACGGGAAGAGTGGAAATGTACGCAGCAGCAAGAACCTTAGAACAGAAACTGCTTTCTCTTTGTGATGGTTGCCAACCCGCAGTTCTCTACTGCCTCTACGTTTGACCGAACAAACGCACAAAATTCGCGAGTTTCGCCGCCATCTATCGGATACACTCCGCACTCGCATCTCATCGACGCTGTTTACATAGGAAGTTGCGTTTCTTTTTTTGTTGTTGTGTTGCTGTTTGTCCCTGCATTAATCATGAAAGTTCGTTTGCTGGGTGCATGAGGCAGCGCGAACAGGTCGGGACCATGGCCAAGAACCGGATGGTCACCAAGCACTGTCCCAAGTGCGAACAGCAGGTAATTCACCCGAGAAACGGTGTCTCGGTTCCCAATACAGATTCCAATCGCCCCCGCGGGGTTTTTTGCTTTTTCGAACGAACAAAACCTCGAGCGCATTCCTTGTCTCGATCGCTTCGTCCTCTCCAATCATCGGGGTATGTCAAAATGTCGTGATCGAAGCCACCTATCCTGCTTCGGACGATTGGCCCGTTGGCACCGCCTTTCTCCGTGCGTTTCGCTCACTCGCGCGAAACGCTTTCTTCTTTGGGCGCCATATTTGTTTGTTATTTAATTCCGAGATGAAAACATGGCAATCAATCTGCTCGCTGTGACAACAGCTCGCTCGTGACTCAACCAGTCACGGGCTGCGTTGTCAGGCGGTTCTGAGTCGCGCTTGTTTGTTCGTCGCGCTGATTAGCTGGCCCGTTTGCTTCTTCCGTGCATAACTTCACCGTACGCGTTGGATCAATTAGGGGCAACCCCGTACCAGGAGCATTATCGATGCCATCTTTATGCTTGCTGGAATGATGGGCCGCTCTTTATTGATCACTTCTCCGGTGACACTGGGCATACGTAGCGTGCATCGGTTTGTAGCCAGTTCATATGGCGCCTTATCAGACTTGGTTGTAATTGAATAACTGTAATTTAACTAATTTAGGAGTAATTTTCGATTCAAAATTATTACGTTTGGCTAAAACATTATGCACACAAGCAGCCCACATAAAGCGAGAGTACCTTCCATTAGCAGGGAGGACAAAGAGAATCAAAATAATGTGATGTGGAGTTTGAGTACCTTGTTGCCACTCCTGTTGGCCATTTACAAAATAATTAAGGCTTCCGTTGGATTTGTTTAGTGCCTACTAACACAAATATTTATTTATTTTATTTGTATACAAGCATGGATAGATCATTTGCTTATTACCCAAGCATCAAGGAGAATGCAGGGATTGGCGTCCCACGCGCCACACGCACACGCCTTCCCGGTATAAAAGATCCGAAGTAAATAACCAAAATAAAGTGTTGATGAACGCGCGTGCAAGATACAATTTGCTTTAGGTATTTGCTTTGGAAAGTTACTACTGCTGAGGCCAGCACGTGTGGCGCGTGGAACACCAATCCCTGCATTCTCCTTGATGCTTGGGTAATATAGCAATAGGTCTATTAGGTATAGGTATCGACACGATCTAAGGTGTATCACCCTCATCCAGAAGGGTGGTGCAAATTTAATGTGATGCAAATGTGGCTTGCTCTTGCATGGGACTCTGCCGATGATAAAAATTTTATTAAACGAGTATTTCTCAATTACAGCTACGCTTTTAAACTTTTTTGACTTCGCAATTCCTGATTTAAAATTTTCGTTGTTTTACAATTTTTCGTGGAATTTCAGATTCACGGGTTTGTTGAAGGCTCGAGTTCTTGTTTATGGACCTTGTCATCTGGGTAGTTGCTTGACCGGCAGATGGAAGTAACTGACGCACTTGTTGCCATTAGGTTGCTTTAATTTGTCTAGTTTCGGTTTCAACGGGCATGCAGCTGTGTTGCTCTTTTATGTAGTTTTTGCTTAATTTTGTGATGCAAATGTTTCTTTTGTAGCACGCAACCAATGAAACAGGGGTACTGAGTCACTCTGAGGACCACAGAGTGGTTTCGAGCCTAAATTGAGGGCTTTTTTACAGACACCTTTGATGCACCTCATTATGGTCAGCAGCGAAACGAGTGGACTGATGTACAGGGAAGATACCTATCACCTATGGCCATACCCGATGACTAGTTTCCAGAAGAATATACCAATGAAGACACTAATACATGAATGTGAAGAAGCAGGTCGAGAGTTGAATTAGCGATGTGCTGAATTGGGAAAAACAGATCAACTTGCGAGTTTACTACTGACTGTTTTGTTTTTGTGGACACAAATCTTTTTTAGTGAATTTTGCAGACCAAAAAGAGTCTAGTACAATAATGCAGTGAGTTTATAAAAACAAGTAATATTGTCTCGGCCTGTTTTAATTAAAAAGAATTAAGTACTTGAGAAATATTTAGACAGTGCGACCTTCAGAGGTTCTTAAAAAAAAAAAAGAAAGAGTTGGAGGTGAATTCTAGAGTATTTTTATCCCTTATCATATTCATTTTCTCGAAAATGGAACTAAACGCGGGAAAACACGAAAAACCGCCAAGCGCGTGTTGCTCGTGTAAGCAGCACACGCAATTGCAAGCGCGCCAGGAATATTCCTTTTGCACTGGCACCAGTCGTAACATCTTTTGTTTCTTTTACCTTTTTGAAAATAGCAGGAGTGCCCATGCATAGCATTGATAGGCGCTAAAGATAAGCGAGAGCGGAAGTTCCGAAAACTCCTTTTATGACGTAACGCTCCGGGAGGGAGGGGCTTCAGGGGTAGTTTTAAAATGATTTTCTGCGGCCTGTGTGCACCAAATTGAAAAAATAATCTCAATATTTGTGATCCTGAAGGCCAAATGGAGACTATTTATGTGTTTTTACTCAATTACGGAACCGCTTCAGTTTCCCTTTAATTATCAGCCCTGCTGAAGTACTCACAAGCAGCATTTCACGATATTGGCCCTAGGAAATAAACAACATTTTATATGGATATTTGCTTATGGCATACAGAAGATATAAGTGGCATGCCCATCAAATTAGGTCTGACATTTGTTTTCCATTAAATTGGCAAAAAAAAAAAAATAAATAAATATAGGACCAGGAGAAGTACTTTTGAAAGTCTGGCTGAAGTTTAATGCTAGGGGTCACTTCATAGACCTGTGCAAGCAGAAATTTATTGTTTTAACAGATGAACTTTGTAAGTTTTGGCGTTGCCAGCCCTAAAAGTAGACCTCTATTTACCATTGACAGTGCTGGGCTCGGCAAATTATTACGCAGACGGCTTTTTTTTTGGCGTCAAATAACCTGCATTTTGGATTGGCGCATAGAGACAATGCTATTTCTTTTGTGTATTTAAAGATTTTGCATGCGCTATTCTAAAAATCTGTACTTTTAAACTGTTTGCGACAGTTTCGTACATGGGAAGTCCCAACATTTGTGTGAAAATAAAATTCAGTGAATTGAATTGATTATCTAAAGACAATCAATCAGTCACTTGAATTACTGCCGAAATGGGATCGAGCACTATATACAGTTTCTTAAAATGCATAAGTAAACCGACCAACCAAATGTTTCAATCAACAAAACATTTCAGAACGTCGAACACATGTAGGTGAAGTATTATGAACTAACAAATCTCCTGATGTTCACATACAATTATTCCTGGCATCAGATAAAATGCAAGTTAAACTTTTGTTGTATTTCTTCTCTACGAGTTCCCTCACATAATCAACAGGAACTGTTTTCAATCTGTAAAAGTACTTGTTGTTGGGCTAGTTGGTGATAAACGTTTAGAACCATGGTTAAAAGTGCTAAAAAGACGACCACAAGAGAAAAGCCCTGTTGTTTGTCTTCTCTCTCATGTTTTTCTTTTTAGTGCTTTAACCATGTTCAAAATGTTTTCAATTTATTATGAATACAGAAAATGATGCTTTCAGAAAACATACACAGTCTCCTTACCTTGACTATTTTTGACACCTTCTAATCCTAAATGTACAATCATAAATATGTGCGCTTCTAATTGCGAATGTTCCGCCACTATTAGCGAATGTTCCCCCACTATTATTTAACAAACCTGAGTTGTTGTAAGTAATTGTCTTCTGATCCCTCTTGCTGTCTTGGTCATCTACATAATCAATGTGGCTCACTGCTATGCGCTGATTCCTATGCCTCATCCTTGCGCATAGTAAAATTGTGTTGCAAGGTTGACTGCAGAAGTTGTGCCCATTATGACGTAATGCTATTAAGTAGTAGATATAAGTATCGGACTATACTTTATGGAGTAAGGCAAGAAAGATCAGTGAAACGCGACAAAAACGCAAATACAATGCATCCGCAAAGGTGCTGAAGGGAGAGCAGAGCAACGAGTTGAAGCAACTTAATGGCGGCCACATCATGCGATTTCAAGATGGCAGCACCCATGCGACTGAGGTTGAAAAGGTCTATTGCTTCTACACGACATTTAATGGGGGCCTTCATACAAGCATGCGTTTTTGGGTCATGGTGACATCTCGACCATTTTCTGCCCCATCGTTTTTTGCTTTTTTTTTTATGTCTTCTGAAGAGCGTGCAGACTGGCCTGGCTCAACTCAAGCACGTAGCCTTGGCTAATGCTTAGACGCCATTTTAATGCAAAGTCACACACTGATTGCACCACATGCGCTGGCCCACTCAGTGCAACAAGGGATGTCTTCATTCCCGAGACAGACAGACAGACAGACTTGTAGGCACCCTACCTTTCTCCATTAACAAGCCCGGTCTAGCAATTTCTTTTGAGAACTACAAACTGAGGGCACCTCAAAATAAACAAACAGGCACTCTTGTTAGGTGCAAGTATTCTTCGTAAGTCATCTTTTTTTTTTCACTTTCATTATCGCAGTGATGGAAGTGCTGCGTCACTTGGGCCAAATTGTGCCATGGACGATAGTGTGCTAAATCTCGTGCCACACATGTGCCGAGTGGGCTTCAACAATTCGCGAGAAATCTTTGCAAAAACGTAAGGTGGTGGATACTGCGATAAGACAGAACCAGGGTCTTGTATGCCTGTTGAGACCGCATGATTATCATGTCTGCCACATGTCTCCATTCCATGGATGTAGAGTACCGTGGCACTTGCGCTGCTCACGTCGACGTTCACTGCCTTCCACCAGAGCCTGCGCGTTGAGCTTCACTGCTTTGCACCGGAGTGCTAGAGCAGCAATGGCTGACATTGCGGAGCACTGGGATTGGTGCGGTAGGCTCGGAAACTATGCTCAGTGCTATTCTAGGTCTACCTTCTTGATTGTAGGTTGAACTCTGGTCAGAACGAGAAAAAAAAAATCTATATTTAATTAAATACGGTAGTCAAGGTTGTTCCCATGTGGCTGTCGATCGAAAGGACAGCAAACTTCGACTTAACTCTGGT